TTCCTACCATTAAACAGGAGAAATTAAATACTGGGATGTATGCAAGATAATGAGACATAGCTGAAAAGAATTAAGATAAATTCATGGCAGATCATATTCACGGCATATTGATGTTGTTAGGTGCCATGGAGTCGGTTCCAATTCATAGAAAACTTTCTGTATAATAGAATGAAACTTTGCCTGGCCCTGTACTATCCTCACAATCATTGCTATGCTTCAGCCCATTGTTGCAGCCACTGTGTCAACCAACTCATGGCATACCTAGAATAAAATCATAAACATAACATACTAGCTAGTTTCCAGAAGCAAGAAAAGACTGCATTACATGCTGAAGATGGCTTCTAGCCAAAGAAAACAAATTGAAGCTCTATTGGAGATAGATATTTTGGAGGAATTAAAGAAAGAGGATTTGAACTATTCCAGCGTCCCCCTTCCACACACACATACTTTTTTGAAACGTTAGAACACCTTTCTCTTCAGCTCCAGGTGAGCATCTGTCTCCACCACAGGATGCTCATGTATGTTAAACTGTATGTTGTATCTTAGCTAAAGGGCACAGTGCAATATCTGACATATAACAGGTGTTCAATAAATGGCTAACATTGTTATTATTGTCTATGGGGATGTTTCCACAACTAAGAGAACAGAGCCTGCTATTAACATCCTAGAAGAAATAGCAACAATAACTAGTAACATGGTAATGGAACAGAAAAATGTAACTACTGATATAACTGAAAAACATTTTTGTTTTTAATTTTTAGCTACATTCTGAAAAATTTTCTAAGTGTGTTTAGGGGCTAAAATGTCATCATGTGACCTGAATGTCTCCTTATAGGTAGAACAATCAATCAATCAGTAAATAAATAACATTGCGTTTCTCTGTCAATCTGCTGTCTTTCACAGTTACTAACTTCCTTTTAAAAGGAATCAACAAACCTAAGTATAAACTACATAACCTGTTCTTTTTTTCCATTATATATAATGCATATTGCTCTCATTCCATAATTTAATTCATTATAGAGACTAAAAGTTTCTTTCCTATATATACTTTAAACGTTATCATTGCCACATAGAATTTTTTTTTGCAAAGGTTACAAGAATATGGTTCATGTATGTTTGCATTTTTGTTGGTCAAAAGAAATGCTTATAGCACAGAATTTAAGAAAGTTGCTTAATAGAGGTGTTATTTAAAGGTTTATAGATGTGTGAGAGGTATTGCTGCTTAATTCGCATCACCAAATTGGCCTAATTATCAGTTCATGCCTCACATGTCTTTCGTAAATCTAGTGTCCTCTGCTATTTATGCTTGCACACAAATTAGCACTCTATGATGGAATGCGAGAATTGTGCTTATTTTGAAAGCTATTGTCAAATTAATACAATATTGGAATAAAGAACTATCTGAAAGTAAGAATTAACTATTTCCACTGTGTTAACCTCACAAAAATGATGGCAACGTATTGAAACCTATGGTGGCCTGGAAAAAGTTTCCTGGCAAGTCCATCACATATGATCGGCATATTATAAAAGTGTTGAAATAAAGCACTTCATTTTCAGTGAGTATCTGTTGGGAAGATGATAGATTTGGGGCTATTTTATATTTTATACTACTACTTTGTATGCTATGTTAAGTAGAAAATATTTGGCTCAGAGGTTCTTTAAATCACATGCTTGTAACTACACCACAGATTTTGTCTCACTAACAATGCGCTGTTCTGTTTCAGCTTTGCACCATCCTTCCATACACCCCTCATGGCTGAGCTGATTTGAAGTGAACTTCATCTTCAGCGCTTAAGAGACGAGACCCTGGCAGTTCTAAATAAAGAGTAACCAAGATAGGGCCCACCAGAAACAAGGTCATCAAAACCCCTACCTGAAGAGACTCACGTTTATAGGGTGGATCCGGATCACTGGCAGAGATTCTCAAAGGAAGGAGGCTTAGGTGTGAAACCTGAAGGAAGAAGTAATACACACTCTGTTTTCATGAGCAACTTACCATGCTTAAGGTTAATTTTTAGTAGTCTATCAGAAAAGGCATAGCATGCAAGTGAAGGACTAAGTATTTTTTTAACTATGTTTTTGAAAGTCAGATTATAAACAGAAACCATATTAAATACTGTCTTTGTTTTGTTTAGAGCTGGCATTGACTACAGCCCCGTGATGTGTGCAAGGACTGTACAGACCATCATAACCTATGACAGGATACATCATCTTGTCAGAGTTGTTTGTGAGCGCAGCGAAAATCTGCAAAATCACGAGTGCCGCTCCATTCTGTCGAAGCCAGACTATTGAAAGATACCGGAAAAAACATCTGTTGTTGTTATTCTTGTATTTTTGCGGAGGCCAGGGCTGCTTTTGGGGTCATAGAGACCTATCAGAAAACCTCATCCTTGTCCCTGGGACTCTCCTGCCAAGCCAACTCGCCAAGCCGGCGGCAGGGAGGCCCCGGCGCCGGTAGGTGGCGCCCCACGCCCGTGCTTGCGCGTCTCCGCGCTCCCAGAGCGGCTCCAAGCCCAGCGCATTTCCCCAGGTCGCTCCAGAGCTCAGAGCTTGCGTTTTAATCAATAAGCGCGAGCGCCATTGCGCTCCCCAATCCCCGAGGTTCACGGGAGCAGACGCCTAACCTAGGCGGGGTGCGCCGTCGCAAGCCCTGCCAAAGCCTACCACTTTCCAAACCCGAGGTTCCGGAACAGCTGCCTTAAAGCCACTAAAACCCCGTTACAGCCCCCTGCCCGCCTCCACCTTTTTTTTTTTTTTTTTTTTAAAGAAAACTGTTTTTTGTTTTGCTTTTCTTCTAACTATGAAAGTGGTCACGCTATTCAGAGTTAAGACTTGGAGGGAATTTGGAAAAGAAAAGAAAGAATCGAAAAGAAGAGACGCGACCGGTGCTTTTGAGGGGGCCTGATTTTAAAGAGCCGTCTGGGAGGCTTGCGCTCTGGGTGTCTGGGTGAGAGCCGGACCCGTAGCTGCCGGCGTGGCGGGGAGCCAGGAGGGAGCCAGGACTAGGTGGTGCGTGGGACTGGCGGGGAGGCCGGCGGAAAAGGGCGCGCTGCGGGGCGCGGAGCGCGGGGCGCGGGGCGCGGGCACCTTGTGTGCGGGTGTGGGCCCTGTGCCGGGAGCGGTGTGTGCCTGCTAGAGGACCGGGTGCGGTGCCCGGTGCGGAGCGTATGGCGCCTGGCAGAGTGGGTCTGGTGTGGGGAAAGGTCGTGCTAGTGCGGATCGTGGGGCAAGGCACCTTGGGTGGAGGTGCGGGCCCGGTAGAAGACCAGGTGTGGGGAGTGCGGGAGGGATGAGCAGTTTGTGCCCGGTAGAGGACTAGGTGCGGTTCTGGTGTGGATCGCGGGGCAGGTCCAGGGCGGGCCCAGTGTGGGGCGTGGGGCAAGGCAAACTGGGTGCAGGTGCGGACCCGCTAGAGGACCGGGTGCAGAGAGTGTGGACGCGGGGTGCGGACGCGCTGCGTGTGCGGATGCAGACCGGGTGCGGAGCGCAGGTCGGGTGCTTGCGCGGTTTGTGCCCCTTAGAGGACTGGGCCTGGTGTGGAACGCAGATCCGGTGCGGGGCGAGGACGCGCGGGTGCGGAGCGCCGGCCAGGGGCGGTAGAAGCAAGGCGGGGCTGCGCGGTAGTGGCCTCGCGGGGAGACAGGTTTAGCGCGGAGTCCTCCTCCGTCCGCATCGCGTGTCCCTTTCTTTGCGCAGAACAACTTCACGAACATCGGGGCGCCCGGCATGGACTTGCCAGATAGACCTGGACCTGCGCTCCGGGGTCCGCGCGCTGATGGCACTCGCGTGGGTGTTTGAATGAGGACTGTCGCGGGTCTGCGTGCTGTATACTGGAGAGAGAGGTGGGAACGGCCTCATTTCGTGCCGGGCAAAGGGGAGAGGACAGTCATGAAAACCAACTTCTCTCCTCTTAGAAAGAGAATCCTGCGATGGTGGGCGGGAGGGAGGCGGCGGCGTCGCTGTGCAGTCCTCAGCCGGGTGCTGACCTGAGACGACTCGCTCCAAGGTCCCTGCGGCCACCGCGGGAGGAGAGGGCACCAGGGAAAGTGCAGACGGGCGCGGGGCTGCCGGGGCTGCGTCCCGCCGGGAGGAGCAAGCCAGGGTCTGGAGAGCAAACCGGGACCGAAGCGACACCTGGAATCCCGTCGTGGGAACCCTCCGGTCCTGCACCAGAGGAGATGAGGGGCTTCTCCGGGGGCTCTCTGGTGGCTGCGGGAGCGGGGAAGTGGGTGCTCGGTGGCAGTGCTTCTCCCTCGTCCTTTTTTTTTCTTACTGTTCTTCACCCCAAGGAGCTTCCTAGGGGTTTCTTCTTTGGGTGGAAAACGGATAAAATCTTTCTCATATTGGTACAGGACATTTCCAGGATGGGAATAGGGGTGAACAAGAGGGAGGGGAAGGAAACGGGTCCTCGGCGCGGCTTTCAGGATTAGTCGCGGACGGCAGGCGAGGGAGCCTGGGGTAGATCGTTTTCTGGGCCTCGTCTCCAGGCCCTGTCCGCCTGGGGCTGGGTGGGAGGGGGTGGCGGGGACGCCGTCTCTGGAGCGACCGACTCTGTCCGCGCGATGAGGACCTGTACAACTCGGGACCCTTGACCCGTGCACACAGGCGCGCGCCCAGGAGCCGTCGGCATGCGACGCCCAGCGCGCTGGACTTCCCCGACCTGTGGTGCCAAATCAGGCCGGGGTGGCTGTGCTGGGAACCTAGGTGTTGGCGAGAGCCCCTCCCAGCCAAACCTGGCGCCCTGACTAAGGTGTAGGTTCTTTGCCCTGACAGATCCGCAGGCGACTTCCTGCTGAAAACGACCCTGGCCTTGACCATCAGCGCGGCGGACCGTGACCAGAGGAGGCGTTCCTGGGCCGCGCACGCCCCCGCGCGCCCCCCGTGCGCGTTCGCC